GGCGGCCGCAGCAGGAGGAATGGGGGCATTGTCTTTCTCAGCAGCCTGTTTGTTTTCCGTCCTGAGATATTGCTGGTGGAGCATGAAAGGTCAGAACCATTTGGAATCCAGTGAATTTCCAGCCTCGCTTGCTTGGGTTTCTCGAGAATTTCCTTTTCTGGTGAATAACCACCTCCTGGGCCTGCCGCCTGCGCCTGCGAAAAAAAAACTTACAGAACCCCACGGCCAGGCCCAGGCCGGCAGCCTCTGTTCTCACCCGGGCTCCCACTGTGGCCTCCCGCGGGGACAGGGCAGGGGAAGCCAGAGACATGAGGCTCCGGGACTGCCTGTCCGCTCAGCCTGGCTGGGCAGCCACTTGCTCGCACAGGAGCTGCGCCCGCCCTGTAACGAGTGACCGCAATGGGGGGGCGCGCAGGCACCGGCTGAGGTCAGGAGAGGCCTCCCAAGGAGGTGACACCTGGGATGAGACCTGGAGGGCAGGGGCAGGTGGGCAGGGGCAGGTGGGCAGGTGCTTACGGCTGGAGAGAGCAGCGCACGTGGGAGAATGAAGCACACACAGGCCAAAGCAGAGAGAGAGAGAGGCAGAGGGGAGGCGAGGATGGGCTGGCGGGAGCCAGGAGGGCCTCGGGCAGAAGGCCTGGCCCTGGGCCCGTGTGAGGACACGTGGGCCACCTCCTGGTTGACAGAGAGCAGAGATGAAAGCCAAATCCCTCCACAACACACGGGCCCAGCTGGGGCCCAGGCACCCTGCCGCCTGCGTCCTGGCACACCTGTGGACACAGGCTTGGCGGGAGACGAGCCCGGCGCCCAGGGACCTGGCCGCACCAGCCCTGGAGATGACAGAGGACAGCCTGAGCGCCGGTCCCCGGAGGGCTGGGAGCAGAGGCTATCGCCAACCTCAGGACCATGAGAAAAGGCACAAGCCGAGGAGCCGACCGCCGGAGTCGATGCGGCTGGAAGACCTTCGCCTCAGCCTCACAGCCTGGCCGGCCCCAGCCCTCTGCCCTCAGCCTCACAGCCTGGCCGGCCCCAGCCCTATGCCCTCTGCCCTCAGCCTCACAGCCTGGCCGGCCCCAGCCCTCTGCCCTCAGCAATGCCCACAAAGGCCTGACCTTGCCTTGCTGGGTTGCCCCACATGGCGCGGAGATAGGGGCAGGCAGAAGAGGAAGAGCAGCTGGAACTCAAGACCACATGGTGCTGGGCCCAAGGCGGGCCTGTCCTGGGGACAGTGTCCTCGGCTCAGGCCACTCCCACCAGCGACACCCCTGGGCACAGCTCTGGGGAGAACCCCAGGGGCCTCGCGGGGCAGTGAGGAGAGCCCTGCCCGGCGCCATGGCTGCCTGCAGCTGCTTCCCCTTCTCCGAGAGGCTGGTCTCCTTGCGAACCCGCACACCCTCCTCCAGAACAGCGCGCAGGTGCCCAGCACAGACCTCCTCGCGCGCAGGCCCAATGAGGGCTTCCCAGCTGAACTCCCACACATAGCCACCACGTGCCCTCACAAGACCGGGGAGGGAGCAAGCCCCTTCCTTGCCACTGCCCTGGTCCCCCAGACCTGAAGGCCGCCCCCGTTTATCAGCATGGCGGGGGGGGGGGTTCCCCCT